CGTGCGTGAGATGGATATTATACCTGCTTCATAAATCCTCCTGAGATTTTTATTATGAAAATATTTTAATACTTTCACGGAATCGAAATCGAAATTATGATCTGCTTTAGTTGTGTGTACAACTAAAGCATTGTTAAAATTACCGAGACGAATATCTCGTTTATGTTCGAAAACACGAGATTTTAAGGACCTACCTGTTTCACCCACATATTTTAGGTCACAATTTTTGCATGATATTTGATAGATGCAAGCATCGGATGTAATATGTTGTCTGCTGGTGCTATTTAATAAACTACGGATAGTCCTAGTAGGTAATATAGTAGTTCTAATTTTAATGCATTTAGATTATGAGAGATACGTTCGGTCAAATGGTTATTTGGTAAAAAGATGCGACCAAACGAAATATTATCAGAGGCAGCTGAAATTGTATCTTTCATTGATCTAGTTGCAGTGGCCTTTTGAGGTGTCATTTTGCGCTGATGAGTGAATTTTCAACGCTTTATTTTTAGCTCTCTGTAATAATTGTCTCGGATACGAAAAAAGATTTGGAAAGGCATCCTCAATATATGTAAATTCATCATTTAAATATTTTGATGAACAGATGCGAAGAGCCCTCAAATAGAATCCAATAACAATACCCCTCTTAGTGTTAGTATCATGGTGAGAGTAAAAATGTAAATAGTCATTTTTACATGTAGGTTTACGATATACTTTGAATTCTAATTTATTTTTATTTTTAATGAGTAATATGTCTAAAATAGGTAAGGAATTATTAGATTCAAGTTCATAGGTAAATTCTATAGTAGGTTCTATTCTATTTAATCTATCAGTAATCTCGTTTAAATCATGCTTATGTGGGTAGATAAATAAAATGTCATCGATGTATCGAAAGTAATGTGTATCAGGTGGAATGACATCTTTAAAAGGTCCAGATTCAAGAAATTCTAGAAATATGTATGCTAGGAATCCAGAGAGAGGACTCCCCATCGGTAAACCAAATTTTTGTTTATAATAAATATTATTATATTGGAAGAAACAATGTGAAGTGCAAAGGATGCATAATTTGATGCATTTCGAGATAGAGATAGGTAGCTTAAAGTCAATTTTCTTAAGGTGGTTCTCTAATTGTTTAATGCATTTATCAACAGGTATATTAGTATATAAAGATTTGATGTCTAAGCTAGCTAGTAATTTGTTATCTATATCAATATTTCTCAACTTATTTAAAAGAGAGCCTGAATTCTTTATATGTGCGTTACTTACGGTGCCCAGAATTGGAGTTAGAAATTTAGTTAAATACCTAGCGATATTATGAGGAGCTGAGCCTATACCCGAGATGATGGGCCTTAATGGAATGTTAAGCTTATGGGTTTTGGGGAGGCCATAAATTTTAGGGAAAGCCAAATCTTATCTTCATTACATATGAGTTTCTTATAGGACCTATTAAATTCTTTTAGATTCTTAGAAATTTGTATAGAGGTGATCTGTTCATAAGTGTCTCTGTCATTTAGCAAGTCCAACATTTTCTGGTTGTAAGCAATGGTATCCATGACAACAACACCGCCTCCTTTATCAGAAGGAGATATAATAATGTTATTATTCATAGACAAGGATTTTAAGGCATTCATATACCTCTTAGGTAAATTGAATTCCATATTTTGGCCATTAAAAGAGGCAGCTAAAATGCCTTGGGTAAAACCTTTAAGGAAGTCAGAATCACTATGTTTGTAGTTTATATTTATCAGTTTGCTAATATTGTGGTCTTTTGAACCAGTTGCAAACTTTAGACCAAAACTAAGGGCTTCAATCTCCAAAGTGCTGAGTGTGGTTTTGGAAACATTGGTAACTAGATCCGTTCTACCCATATTCTTCCAACAGCTGCGATCACATAAAGTATGGAATTTTAGTTTTAAACTCCTGATGTGTTTTTGATTAATTCTGGTCACTTCGGATCGAAGTCTCTCCGCTGTGATGCGAGACATGCTGTTTTTCAATTTTAGTTCACGTCCTAGAAGTGTGGCTTTTAAAAAGGTTTGTTTCTCGGAAAACTTTAAATCTTTTACTGATGATTCCAGGTAAAGTTTGATATAGTCAGGGAAAATATGTGAAGATGATTTCATGATATTGGACAAGCCCGATGGAACGATTTTTTCATATATGCAGTTCATTAAGAAATCTTTTCTATTCTTGTAAGAATACGCGGAGACTAGTAAATTCTTGTATTTTCGGATAAGCTTGTAATCTTCCATGTTGTAAAAATGAATTTAGGTTTGTATTTTCAGTGGACAGTATATAAGCAAGTGTAAATGGATATAAACCCGACAGAATGAAGAAATTTTGAAAAAACAAACAAAAATCCTTAAATGTAGTTAAAGTGAAAGAAATGTCGACGTCATAATTTCGATTTCGATTCCGTGAAAGTATTAAAATATTTTCATAATAAAAATCTCAGGAGGATTTATGAAGCAGGTATAATATCCATCTCACGCACGGTGAATAC